AAGGACATCAAATATATTAGTCACAGAACTCTTGTGACCATTTTGCGATTTCAACAGGGCGTCAGAACGACCAGGAATGACGGTACAGTGTTATGTTAGGTTTATTTTGAATTAGATTGTATTTTTTAGTTTTTGTTCATTTTAGATACATTTTTAGTAATTGTATTACATTTTTTTTAAATATTGCTATTTAGGTTTAATTTGTTTATTAAATTTTAGTTTTTTTTTTTTATTTCCAGTGAATCATTTTAGTGCTTATATTGTCACAAGGCAACATTTCTAATATTTGTTTAGTTTAAGGTTTTTTATAAAAAAAAAAAATGTCAGCTTTATTTCAATTAACAGAAATGTTTTAAGCAGTTTTAGTTAATGATAATAACTCTGTAACGATAACAGTTTAATGCAAACACTTTGAGATACTATTATCGTTTTTTACTTTTTTAAAACTATATAATAGTATCATTACTATAGTTTTTAGTAATTTTATGTAAAAAAGTGTAAAAATAAAAAATTATTTTAATAAGTTTCTTTTTTAGATTTTATTTCAGTGAAAGTTTCTTTTATTTAAAGTTTTTTATTTTTTATGCTTTAAGTATAATAACCCTGCTTGTAAAAGCACTTAATCACATTTACAGTGATGCTCTTACAATGGAATTATTGTGGGGTTTAAATGTAAGGCTAGTGTAATAAACCATGTCTGTGCAAAATGACAGCTATTTTCTATCTTTATAATGGTATGAACTGGAAAACTTTAAAATATTATAAACTTTTTAATGCATAAACTGTTCCATATTTGTTTCTGTTTTCATCTTGCATTGCCTGAATACAGAAATTAGACATTTGCCTTTAAAAATATAAGATTTTAAACTTGGTAGACCTTGGTTATCAACATCATTAGATCAGACTTGCATATATGCTACAACTTGGCAACTAAGGCCAAATCCAGGGCAATATGCATAGAGTAAATCAATACAACTTATGCATCTCAAGAACATTTCCACGTTACGGTGGGAGATTTGGCCTGTTAATAGAAAATGGTGAAGTTGCTGTTTTCAGTTTCATAATATTGTACAGGCTTTCACATTGCCTCTAGGGAAGGTCACAGTGGCCCTAAATCATTCTAGATAGCTTAAGGCTAAAAATACACTCTAGTTTCTTTTTAATGGGCTGAGCTGGATTTCAGTTTCCTGTGAATTCCATTCCAATTTCCATGTTTTTCCCCCCCAATCCATGAGCTTTTATTCGCATGCCAAACCCACGAGTGTTCGTTCACACCACAGCCAAATGGCCACCACATAATTACTGGCTTCCGTTTCAAACCGCTTTGTCTCCAGATTGTCTTTAATTGTTGGTAAATTGCAAGTATTATTCCACTCACTGGCTGTAGGAGGTTACTGTTGCATAATTACTCTTGTAAAGTGTGCGTCTCAGACCGTGGACATCAATTGGAGGACGCCAAACCTGGTGGGTTTTTCTTGCGCGAGATGTCACGGATTGCCGTGTGTGTGTGGGCATCAGCGAGTTCCTTTGTGAGAGATGTAGACTGTGTTTAGGCTGTCATTACACTCACCCCCACCCGTTCGGGACAGAAAACCCCGCCTGTAAGAATTTGTTTGTGTTTGAGCAGCTGCTGTGAGGTGTAAGCTTTATTCATAGACTGCTTTCATCTCTGGCGTCGTTGCATTCATTGGCGTGATGGCAAACCGCCATGGGCGGCACTCTCAGCCCAGGTTGCACTGGGATAGTAAGATAGAGGGGTGGCTGATGTGTCAGCATGTTATTATAGCTGAGTTTGTTTATTATACAGATGAATTTCGGCAATCTCTGTTGAGATTCAGCTGTACTGCTCTCGAGAGGCCCTTCCTCAGAAATGAAAACACACCGTCTGCACTGAGTGACACAATAGAGACTTGTTCAAACAAAGTGGGATGTCTTATTTTAGACTGCTTGTTTTAACGGCCCACTGCGCAATGGCTTTTTAATTAGCTTTTGAGAGGATGCTAACCTTGTAAAAACGTAACGTCAATGTTGACAGACCAGGCAAATCTTCTAATGACAGTGTGTTGGCATTAATACTGCATAATGCAGTGTTTCTCAACTGGTGGGTCGCGAGACCGTTCTGAGTGTGTGTCAAGGTCTAGTGTGCAGTCAAAGAAACTACATCAACAACAAAAAACGTAATTCTAAATGTTTTGCCGATGCAAGACTTTTATTTTGAAAGACTTACGTGAAAGCTGTTGACAGTTCTGTCAGAGCCCAAATGCCTGAGAAAAACGCGTTGTCCTGATTCAGTAGCTGCTGTCAAATGAAATGTTGTCAGGCTATATGTCAGTGTCATTATTGTAACGTTATTTGCGTAGCTTGTTTCGAACTTTCCTGTCCGTTATGCTGCGCTAGTAGCGCTCACTCTTCAATTGCATATCGCTTCGCTATATAAAGTGCAAAAAACTAAGAGCGTGCAACGTCGTTAAGTTGTCAATTGGTAAGTCACAAAATACAAGCAATATACCAATAAATCATGTTACTGGCACGTCATGTGTTAGCTGAGAAGGATTTGCATGCTGGTATGATGTTCATTCTGTTCATCAGGAGCAGTTTCCATGTTTCATTAACAGTTCATGTTAGTATTGTGTATTCTCCATGGCAACTGTTGTTTCTATAACCCCAAAATGCCAACAGAAACTAGTTTGGGACTGCTATTTAATAGCTTTACCTCATAGGACTTAGCCATATTCTTACAATGTATGTGTATGTTAAGTTAAAGGGGGATGGTACTTGTGTGCGTGTCAATCATTTTTGTGGAATAAATTTGCTTGTTTTTAAAAAAAAATTGTTTTAATTTTTTTTATAATAGGTCTATATATAATTCATTATAAAGTGCGTCGCGGCTTAATGACCATGGGAAAATGTGGGTCCCATGGCCAAACGAGTTGAGAACCACTGGCATAATGAATGCTAAGAAATGCTGATTTGAAGACTTATTTCACCAATAGCATTTTAACCTTTCATGACAGATGTAGTGTGAGATTAGTGACGGTATATGCTTCGGTAGAAGCAATTTCAACGCTATTAAACACAAAAAAAATGAATAGTCAAATTCTAGTGAAAAACTAATCTAAACTGCGTGAAAAGATGATTGTCCACTTTCATGAAGCTTTCTAGATTTACATCGAGTCAGTCTCAAATTACTTGTTGAAAATATCTAAATATTTTGCATAAAATGTATGATGTAGCGGAAGTAGCGACAGATCTGTTCTTCTGTATTGTGGCGTACATCATTATGGCGTGTATCAGATTATGGAAAAAGGAAAAAAAATGCAGATCTGGGGTGCATTTTCCGAAAGCAACTATGGTTGCAAGTTCCCTTGTTATCAGCATAGTTAAACGAGTCTGTGTTTCCCGAAACCATCGTTCTAACGAACATTCGCAAACAGCATCGCAAAGTTGCGTGGTTGGAACGACAGCTCTCGACCCGTGGTTAGAAGCATAGTTTCTGGTTTGCATTTGACATGTGGACTCAATAAATCCTTATCTTGAGCAAAATAAGCAAGCTCACATTCAGTACAATCTATATAATTTATTTTGAATATACATGTCATTTACGTCTCTTAGTTTTTTTAACTAATTTTTAAAGCGTGAGCATGTGCATACGTGTTCTAGTACATACGAACGATTGTTGCGTCCCTTTTGAGCTGAGAGGTCCCGGGTTCAGATCCCGGACGAGCCCCCATTTGTTACCCCCATGGCTCAAAACGGACACAATCAAAATTGGGACACATGAGATAGCCGAACTTTAAACCCAAAAAAAATTTTTACAATAGGAAACCTATATATATATATATATACACACAATACAATTTCGGGACTAGCTAGTTGATTTCTTCAACTATGCATAGTACTATGGTAGTGAAGCAGTGAGTTACGTCGTTGGCGGGAAACGCACTCCTGAATTCGAACTTTGTTTGAAAGGGGCGGGGTTTACGCGGATGAAACGATTGGAGAAGTCCATTATACATCATCAGAAAAGTGTGTCGTTTAACTGGAAGATCTTATGTTATGACATTTTGATTAAGAATTGCAAGGTCAAAAAAAGTAAATAAATGAAACGCGTGCATGTATGAATCATTCACAAAAAGATCTATAACATGCATTTAGAAAATCTATTTCATGCCAACTTTAAACTTAAAATATATAGTTTTAATACTAAGCAATTGCCATCCCCTGGTTTCACAGACAAGGCTTAACCCTAGTTCCAGACTAACATGCATGTTTGAGCTGTTTCAACTGAAAGCAACTTGCACTGATATATCTTCAAATATGTCCGTGCAGTGCCAATTTGTCTCAAGATGCACTCCAGTAATGTTTATTTTTATTTTTATAATGCACATTTATAAAAGCTCCTCAAATGTCCTAATTGAACCAAGGCCTAATTCTGGTTTAATCTATGCCACGTCTGTGAAACCAGGCCTATATGTCTGAAATGTTATAGTTTCTGATTCAATTATGTCATTACCAATTTGTTTTGCTTAAAAGCAAAGTTTTGAGATCCTAGTTGGTTTGGTACTCTACATCACTGCAGGCTTTAATGATATGACGAAAATTAATATTGCTGTCTTGTATTACATTACTGTCGCTGCTGTTTCATGCAAGCAACATGGCACTGGAGGTTATCCAGTACACTGATGTTACCAAGGGTCAAACACCCTAACCCATGATAAAATCACTGCGATGTAATGGCCTTGAGTGGATTATTGCTTTAATAAAACACACACTGTACCTTAAGGCTTAGTTTTAATTGCTTGTTTACTTGAGGTCTCGAGTTTAAACTCGTTTCAGGTCTAAAGTTCCAAATAAAAAAAATTAACTATAATAAATGAATATTTAAAAAGATCAGACTGTGCATTGTTAGTCACTGTGACTATCCCAGCATGCACACACTTAGCTATTAATGATAATGTTGTTCCATTTCACGCAGCTGAAAAAGAACAAAAGAGACTGGATTACGTTAATACAGTATTGTTTTTATTCATTTTTATGGCATTGATGAATAAAACTAAAACAAGAGTTGCATTTATGCCAAGGCTGACAAACGAAACCTCGTGTGAATCCAAAAACCAGACTTTGGATAATTCAAGCATCTGCACAGTTTTCAAACCTTGTCCGGCTATCGTGGAATTATCACGGTGAAGGGTGACAGTGCGTTTCAAAGCCACACGGTGTCATTTCATAGAGTGTGTAAGAGAGGGTGGTTATGTGTTAGGCTTTGGAATGGGAAATATGAATATAATATAACATATATTTATATATTTATGTATATATATTATACATAGCATGGTTCATAAATTTGAGAGCATCGTTGTCCTTGAATTCCGTCTTTGCCAATAGCCCTTTCCCACTGGTGGTTTATTTAGGGCCATCTATGAAGCATGACACAGGATACCTCACTGAACCGCCCCCGAGATGTTTTGCATAGACGCCAAGTTAAATTCATGCAAATGAGTATGGGACAGACGTTTGAAAAGATCTAAACGAAACAAAAAAAACGTTACGATAAAGAAAAAAATGACAAACACGAGTCAAGGTTATACTGCATCTACCACATGAATGAATTGTGTGAGTGGTCACATTCAATTTTTTTAGGACTCTAGTTTTAGAAAAATAAGTGTGATTATTTCTATATTAAAAAAAGAAAAGAAAAAGACAGTCCACGTAATATACTCTGTGATTGAGCATAATGATTACTGTAGCTACACTTGAAGCATGTTTATGTGTAGATCTGCCATATGTGTATATTTTAGTACTTTCAGACGAATATTGCTCTTCTGCAGCACTGCCTATTTTTAACGCCATCAACAAAGAGACCTACGCGTTAGCTATCTTTGCTAGTGTGTATGTGTGAGGGGCCAAGTCAACATGCAGCATTAGGTTCCGACGAGGGCAGTCACCATGCATAGTAGTCATTTTATGCCATTAGAAATGGTGAAAGAACCTCCCTGAAACAATAATGTTCATACTCAGCCATGGCTAGCCAAGTTTTGAAATGAATTTGTTAGCCGTTTAGTATTTGGATATTTATACCAGAATTCACCGTGGCACCATTCACTTCCCATATAAAGCAAAGAAACCCTCTACCTAAACTAATGTCTTGTTCGAGGTTACTCAGACATGTGTCTTTTTCAGGACGTATGTAATTCGAGTGGAAGAAATGTCTGCAGCCGTTACAGAAAAAACAAACATTGACTGTAAAAGAAACACTCCGCACAATAAATAAAATAAATAACATTTCAAAACGAATGTGAACAAAACGTAAAAATGTAACACAAAAGCAAGGTTTAGATCTTATGTCATTTTAAAAACATTTCTTTTTTTCATATTTTTGTTTTAATACATCATTTAAAGATTTCTAAAAAAATCAGGAAGTTGTATACAGAAGCATTCACAGACATCATTGTATAAAAGCTGATACATAAGAGATTAGCATCAGTCAACAGTGTTCTACGTTATAAACTCTTTGCGGGAATATTTCATTGTTATCAATAAATATGAGTAGACAATAAACGCGTGTAAAGATTTCGGGAAAATAGGAGATTAGGAATAGTCTATGGCTTTAGCGGCTACCTCAGCCAAAAACATCAACAAACAAACAAAACAAAAAAAACGTTAATTTATGCCATTATTTTCCTACCGTTTTTTCAGGACAAGTTACTAAACCAAAAAAAAAAAAAAAAAAAAAATTGGTACCGTCTGTTTCTACACAGCTACATCAGGCTAGAAGAGAATAACCCTCAAAGTATTCCTCTCCTGTTTGTTGTCTCGGAAACAAAGGAGGTACTGGCTAGTTCCTCTCAGCGAACTTCAGTAGGGCGCAAACTTCTGTCGCTCTGGTTTCTTGATGCCGTTGGCGGAGGAGATCTTGGCGGTGTAGGAAGCCAAGGTGCCGTGGGCAGGGGCAGCGGCGGCGGCGGCGGCGGCAGCAGCAGCTTGGGCAGCAGGGGCCGAGAGTGCCAGGAAGGGGACGGATTTGATTCCCAGGAGGCTGGAGAGGGGGAGGGTATAGGGGGCGCCCAAGATTGGAGCGTGGGGCAGGCCGCCCATCGCTGCCAGGGCTGCGGCAGAGGACGATGCAGGGGGAGCAGTCTGGGTGAAGCTCATGTTGAGGTCTACAGGGGTCGACATGGAGGAGGACTGGGCAGTGGATTTGGCGGTCTCTAAACTGTACGAGGGAGGGAAGGAAGGAGGTGGAGGAGAGGAGGGTGGAGGGACAAGGGAGGGGAGCCGGATGGAGAAGGGTTAGAAGGTTAAATAAAAGACATGTTAAACAAAAATTGAGAGAGATAAAAAAAAAAAATCAAAAAACAGAAACAAAAAAATCATAAGAGAGGTGTGTTTTGCTGGTGGTTGCAACAGATTATTTGAGGGGGGACCTTGGCACTCATGGGAAAGGAGCTGTTTAATTCAGGGTGATGGCTTGGGTAGGGGCTTTGGGAAAAGAAACAAAATGATTTCAATTTTTAGTAGCATTTTCTTTATCTTTTATCAAAAAGATGCATTTGTCAACATGGTACTCATTGCAAATGCATGTAATCAAACGTGCTCTGCCATTAAGGTATTTCGAGGGCGTAGGACTGATTTCTCATTATCACGTAGGGGGTGTGTTCAATATGCAGAACGTTCTGATGCAATGCATTGAAACGAGACGTCTGTCTCGTAGGAAGCATTCTTAGAGAGTGACACTGATTGGGGGTGACGTCTCCAGACTTCTTCTAGGACATGAATAATCATGTTTGATTTTTAATGGCTTGTTGGAGCTGACTAGTTAAGGAAATATTCTGACGCTAGAGTGCCTTGGGTTGCTCCGAGACCGCCGTTTGTTGCCGTCACTTGGCAAAAAACCAAACTGATAGGAATTCAACTGATGAGAAACCAGTAAAAATCAATAATATTAAGACAGAAGCAAAACAACAAAAGCTTTCTTAAAATATCTTGAAATCAAAATAGTCATTTTTCCATGCAGGAAGCCTGAGTAACATATTTCAAATAAAGGGCTTCTCAGAGTGAGTTTGACATTCTGCACCGGTCTGCTTGTTGAACACACCTGAGCCAAGCATAAATATTCCATTCAAGACCCAATTATTGCTCTCTTGTCGACTTGCTGAGTCATAATATGCTAGAAGAATTAATATATAACTTTGTACATGACACTGCATCTGTTGGAAATCTTAATTTATTGGCTAGCCAATACAGAAAATGCAATAACTGATTGTTAAAGAAGCCACTAATTTGGAGTGTGGTCTTATTCGGTTTCTTCATTAGTATTCATTAATTCATATTCTCCCGTCAACTGATTTGAACTCTTTACAAACAAGAACTATAAAAATGTTCTTGTGGTTTGAATTGTTTATGTGTGTTTTGCAAATTCTACCTTAGGTTAATTGAACTGACGTTATAAGTATAAAACGATCATTTTCATTAGCCTGAATAAAGAACAGAACTATTAATTTTGTTACATTAGCAAATTAAATTTTGCCCCAGCGTTGACGGAGAAGTCTTTGCCGAGAAACTGAGCTGTCAGGAATTTACTGCTTTCTTGCCTGACACAACATTTGATCAAATTGCAACCGCATAGATCACGTGGGAGAAAAATACAGTTTGTCTATGAGGCGGCCAAAATGCTCTGCCTTTAAGCTTTAACAAGATTCTGGCTTGAAACTTGGCCAATTAATCCCTCAGCCTGGCTTCTTTCTGCCACATCTTCTTGCTTTTTAGTTGTTCAATGCCTTTGCTCAAGAGTGCTTCTTTTTTTGCCAGCAACTGTGGACTAGAAAGACCCCTGATTGAATATTCCCAGAGGTTTTGTCAGGGTCTCCTACTTCAGGGTCCTCTAGAGCATTATGGTGTAAAATATGCCACATAAACACATGGAGTGGTCAAGTACAAACACCCTGAATCTGTTAGTGGGATGGGATGGCTTCCAGTGCTTACCAGGATGTGATTAGATACTGGGCCAAGTTGATGCTGATTGGGGAGCCAGTGATGGTGACGTGTCGGTCACTAGTGCTGTCCAGTTGACTGCCAATCTTGATCTGAGCCCCCGACACCTGGCGGATCTCGTTGATTTTGGTACCCTGCCTGCCGATTATTGAACCAATCAGCTGAAAGGAAAGTACAAAACCAATCAGATCAATAATAGATTTAAACAGCTATTCTATGACACTATTTCCCTCCAAGACAAGGGTGTCCAGTCCTGCTTCTGGTGGGCCAAAGTCCTGCAGAGTTTATCTCCAATACACCTGCCAGGAGGTTTCTTGAAATCGCGATTAGCTGGATCAAGTGTGCTTAATTCAGGTTGGAGCTAAACTCAGCAGGACAGTGGCCCTCCTGGAGTAGGATTAGATACCATAGTTCATGGTACAAAATTGCACCATGATAAACATTGACAACATGATCGGTTTGAAGAAAGCCAAATTTATTTTACATCTGGATAATTTACGTCGCTTGGTCAACAGCAATCCTGAAATTCATAAAGCATGACTTACAGCCCAACTGCCCACGTGTGGTTAAGTAACTATTAATTTCAGGGACAGTGTTTGCACCCTCATGCCTGTATCTAATGTGTTCATTGACAAACACTTTAATCTCTCTTTGGGTGCATGTCATCATGCTTGGCTCTGAAATGCCAGTTTATATGTTTGTTCATCTGGACCTGAGATGACAAGGCTGTGTCTGTGCATGGCATTGTCTATGTAACAAGCATCTGCTAATAGTTCTGTGGATCTAGACGGCCAGTTTAAACCAACAACAGGTGGTGCTGAACTAATTCATCCTACTGTGACAGCATCAAGTTTTTAAAAAAAGTTGTGGGCCTGCAGCTCCTTAAACTCATTGTATGAATCCAGATGATGTATACAGTTGTTCCTGTACATTCTGTGGAAGGTGTCCAAAGCTTGAAGGAAAAGGACCAAGGGGGTTGGGTGACCCTAGGGATTGGTGTCAAGCCTGAACAATGATAAAGTGAAGTGACCCCCGACTGGGATGAGTTAACAGTTTATCATTCAAATGACTGACAGCTTGTCTTTTGTCCACCCTGCATCCCAACCCCCAACCCTCACTTTGAGTGTGAGTTGGATTATGTGGGCAAGAATTGCTCCACAAAGCATTCCTTTCCTCACGAGTCATATGGACGTCAAAGCTCCTGATTTGTCACACCGCTCTCCCTGGTGCCCAGGGGCTATTAATGGCTCAGCTGATTGTGGTTAAGTGCTTGCAGTCGACCGCCAGGTCTCGCTGCCACCCTGACATAAAGGATTCCAGCATGTCCTTTGCACTGCACCACATATTTGCCCAATGACATCCTTCATTTTTAGAAATCTATGAATTATATATCCTCAAGCAATAGGATAATGCAGCAAAGTACCGTCACCCACACAGCCTCCTCCAACCTTCAAGTTTACCAAAGAAAAAAAATCACTTTGGTTTGTTTTATTGATTTCTTTTTGTCCACTGAAATCAAGGTGCAATCTATGGCTCAAATCTGTCTAAAGCAAGAGACAGGTATATATAACCTAGCCAAGCTGGAGACAGGCCTATTTTAGGTGAATCTACTTCTTCTTAGGTCTTAGTTTTGAAAGTCTGAGGAGCGAGGACACGTCTCCTTACAGCAAAAAACTGGTGTCACTGACAGGCTCGTCCACCTCTCACAGGCCAATCTTTAAACAGGTAGAGTTCTGACCCAGCTTCATCCGCTGTGCTCTCGAGCCCTGATCCGATCCCAATCTAATTGTAGCATGTTTCAGGAGATTTAGGGGGGGATGGTTCACCATGGAGAAACTGCTCCTCTATAGAGAGAAACCTGATTGCGAATGATAAACAACTTAGCCTGCCAGCCGTTTGATGTCTGTTTGATGTCGCCTTGCCTTGGAATTGCATCGCTGTGAGGGAATTTCAATAATACATGCTTTCCATCACCCTGCTTTATGCAGGAATATGAATATACAAGCATGCTAAATTAGCCCTTGATTGAAGAAATGGTTGAAGTTGCTTTGAAGTTTATCATGTATGATGAGGTTAAGAACCATTCAGTAAGTCAAGTTTTATTTGAAGCTAGTGTCAATTTGACAAGAGCTGACTCTTTTTCTGTTCATGTGCATCAAGGTAGTCAATGACTTCACTCTAGACTCTAGATAATGCATTCACTTCATTTGTCTGCCATTACAGCTGTACAAGAAATCAAAAATGCTGATACACTCCGTAAGCGAAAAAACTCAAACCTGTTTAGTATGTCGGCTTGTACAACTAAAATATTTTTTAAAATGCTGGATATATAAATATTTACATGAAGATTTTATGTGTTGCAAATATACTCACTTGCTGTTCTCATTGAATAAATATATTATTTTTTGTATTTAATTTTGCCATGTCAAAAGGATATAAATGTAAAATTATCTAAAACCATCCGATTTTGACATTAATTTACAGTACAACAAGTATTTCTTATTGTTTTCATTCTATGAGTAGGTCCATTCTATTGATACTACATTTACTGAGACAACAGCACATTGTGCAAATACTTATGTTCAAAAAAAGTACAACAGCATGGAACAACAGTTTTACTTTTAAAAAACATGTTTTGAGACCTGTTTTTAACTGGAGACCAATCAGATCATGGGAAAAAGTCAAAGAATAGAGTCGGGCATGAAGCTTTAAAATAACAAAACAATGGGAGTTGAAAATATGTATCGAGTACTGAGTCCACAGCTGGGCCCTTCGCCAGTCGATTAATCCTGTGATCTCAGAGAGACGTGGAGGCGGGAGGGAGCCCTGGTCAGCAGGCATGAAGGGAACGTCCCGTTCGCCCCCGGGGTGCAACCTAGAGCTCTGACAAAAGGCTCTGGCTTTATTTACCGTCTCTGTTTTGACAGCAGAGGAGTGCTAAGCATGTCAGACGCCATGACAGGATTGAATTGGACAGGGGGTGGACAGATTGAAATAAAAAGTTTCAGAATTTCTGCAAGGCCAAAGTGTGCCATGAAAGGTGCTCTCAAGAATATCAAGAACATGACTTTTATCATTTCTAAAACACATATCTGACCATTCTCAAAGGCTTAATAAAGTCTTCATGTAAGACATAAACACAATTAAGCATTATTACAAAATATCAATGAGTATCTTGAGCAATGCGATACTTGCAAAAAAGACGTTTTACTTACGTCATTTGGAATGAGAAGTTCTTGTGATGCTGTCTGGGAACTGGAGTCAATGCCTGCAGGGAGAGGAACAGGTACCACGTTAACAAACCATAGGATAATTCACTGTAGTTTGTTTGCTTTCTTCTTTCCCTTTCTTCAATGGCCTCAACATAGGCCTATTTCTGACCCACAATTATCTTCTGTTGATCTGCATTGGGCCACAAATTCTCAGGGGAAAATTTTACTTATTGAACCCAGAATATTCCTTTAAGCGATCTCCTATCTGTTAGCTGGATGCTATCACCTAATCGGAGCTAGCCTGTATCTCTTTCCCTTTACTTCCTGTCTCAGCAGGAGGCCCAGACCCAGCAGTGCCTCCAAGCCCAACAGGGGCCTATTTAATAGACTGAAACATTGCCTTGACTGATGAGCTTTTTACCTCCGACATAATCGAATTCCCCAGCCATATCATGATAGGATGTGCTCTTGTAATTTTAGCGGCGGGGGGCAACTATTACATTTGTTTCGACCCTTCAATTCCTTGAAAGGGCTTTTTGATTCTCACATTTGCACCGAAAGTGCTTATTTACCATAATGTTCAACAGTCTGTTGGCTTTAAGAGATCCTACACAACAAACCTTTCACAAATGTTGGGTATCTCCGGGCAGCTTGAAAGACATCACTGAAAAACTTGGGGTGGCTGTATAATTGGATGTCTGGTTGTGAGCAAGAAAAAAAGAAAGGGAACAAGAAAAGGAGAGCTTTAGCTGGACATTTATCACAGCTCTGAGAAGCCCCAGGAGCTGACTGTGGAGCCTTGTAAAGTTTGGCCCCGTTTTTGCAGCTGTAATCTGCATGTGCCATATGCTCCATGGAGCTCAGGTGTATTACCTTGAACATGGGTGGCCTATGGGTCTTTGGGAGGTTTGTTTGAATCTACTAGCTTGAGTTCTCTGGTGGAATTGTGTCACATCCACAATCGCTGTACACAGAGATTTACCACTGCTAAAGCAGACTTGTGCTCCTGGGTAAATATAGGGTGTTTTCACACTTAAGTTCACTTTATAAGAAGTTTAAACCACTTCAGTATACTACAAACTTAACTGAGTGATCAAAAAAACCTACTTCTCTTTTCATTCGCACTGTTCCTGGCCTTGAAACCGAGTCAGATCACTTTTGATCTTTTTCAAAGAATTAACTCTGATCGTTGACCAAATTACTAATTCATGTGAACCTTGAAAAATGGAAGTCCTGCATGTGTGAGTAAGGTGGCGACAAGTCTAAGCCACTGTCTAACCCATCCCAACCCCTTATCTTCCTCTTCAAAGAGACTTGGATTGGCAAAACATACCGGACAGAACTTGGGTGGCCGTGGGCTGAGCCATGGGGGCAAGACCCTGCTGCATGGACAACTGGTGCAACTTGGCCAACTGAGATAAAAGAAAAACGGAAGGGAAATGTCACTTCATTCTAATGAAAAGGTTTTATTACTCTTATCAGAAGACACAGCTGAGTATTGAATCATTTAATTAATTCACAAGTGTAAAACAGGCTCATTTACTTCACAAAAGGACACTCGACTAATGGGAGTTATGCAGTATGAGGATGGTTCTCAGAAATTCTCTCTAAAGCTTCTTACCTCTGAGTGTGGAATGCCATATTGGTTTTGTACAGTATAAGCCTGAAAAAGAAATAGCGGAGAGTGTTATAATGGAGAACATCGTATTCAACCATTCTCTTTTAAAGATCCTCATAGTTATTTTAAACAACTAAAAAACTAGAAACAGGGTAATTCTGTTGCAGTGTTTGATTTTTCTGAATAACTGGAAGTTACAACCGACTTAACTTCAGTGTTTTTACATATTTCCAAGTGGAACTGAATATTGAATAGAGGGCAGGGTTTTATTTTAGCGCACCTCCTCTCCATCCCTCGCTCGCAGCAGAGTGACGGTTGGAGGGGAGCTGTTAAAGATATACAACCCAAGCTGTCAAACTGGCATCATCAGAGAAGGAATGCCATTCCAAAGGGGAAGCATATTGTCAAGTTTTGATTAAAGGGATACTCCACTTTTTTTGGAAATAGGCTCATTTTACAACTCCCCCAGAGTTAAACTGTTCGAGTTTTACCGTTTTTGAATCCATTCAGCCTATCTCCGGTTCTGGCGGTACCACTTTTAGCATAGCTTAGCATACATCATTGAAGTAGACAAGACCATTAGCATTTCTCAACAAAAAAATGACCAAAGAGTTTCGATTATTTTTCCTATTTAAAACTTGACTCTTCTGTAGTTACATCGTGCACTAAGACCGACGGAAAATGTAAAGTTGCGATTTTCTAGGCTGATATGGCTAGGAACTATACTCTCATTCCTGCGTAGTAATCAAGAAACTTTACTGCCGTACCATGAGAGCAGCAGGCGTAATGATATGACGCAGCGCCTGAAAATAGTCCCCAGCTCGGTAACTTTCAACGTGACCGGGACTACGTTTGTTATATCATTACGCCTGCTGTATTAATGGTACGGCAGTAAAGTTTCTTGATTATTACACAGGAATGAGAGTATAGTTCCTAGCCATATCAGCCTAGAAAATCGCAACTTTACATTTTCCGTCGGTCTTAGTGTACGATGTAACTACAAAAGAGTCAAGCTTTAAATAGGAAAAATATCAAAACACTTTTTTTTTTTTTTTTTTTAAATGCTAATGGTCTTGTCCACTTCAATGATGTATGCTAAGCTATGCTAAAAGTGGTACCGCCAGAACCGGAGATCGGCTGAATGGATTCAAAAATGGTAAAACTCAACAGTTTAACTCTGGGCGAGTTGTAAAATGAGCCTATTTCCAAAAAAAGTGGAGTATCCCTTTAAAGATTACCACGACAAGCAAATTTTTGTTCACCACAAGACTAGTAATGTAAAACTTTTTTCTCACTGACCCTAATCATTAATAGGGTTGTTTGTTCTGTCTTTAAACTCAACATGAAATCAGAATTTACTAAAATATAAAACATTTCACCCAACATTGTTTTCTTTCACAGAATATACAATTTACTTAGAAATGACACAAATTAAATAATAGATGGGTTAGACCAGCCAGTTCATGTTGACATTGACTTCAATTTGTAATTGAAACTTAACATGCATATACTTTTCATACTGTTGTTCATCAAGGCGGGATGAGTTACTAAATTATAAATATGCATTGAGATATATGTACATTCCAGCCTGAATTTGTTAGCTTGTCTTTGCTGATCTGTTGGCTGATTCTAGAGGGGTTTTCGGGCACTTGTCGTCTGGTTAGTCCAGAACTAGGGGGTCTCTGCCGCCACCACACTCACTCTCATAGTTCAAAAACTGTCGAAAGGGGACAGATGTGAAACTAGAAGATCTCTGAATCAAGGCTTCTGCATCAAAGAGAATAAGAAGCCAAATAGCCAGACGCAAAAGCTACAGAGAACGCTACGTGCTAGTCCCAGAGGTTCTCTTGCATAAGCCTGTTTAAAAGTTTAAACACGTGGAAGAGAGATGGAGAGAAAGAAACCGAGGGAGGATAAAATGGAAAATAAAATAAAAAGATCAGTGAGGCAGAAATGGCAGTCCATGTTGAAGAGCAACCCTAGTTTGTGTCTCTGGGAGCCACGTTAATGAAAATGATTGGTCACAGTTCTCAATGAAAACGTTGTTTAGGGGGCAAAACATGACCTTTCTTTGTCAGGACGGATTTAGCTTGTCTCCGGAGGTGAGCTCAGAATCTTCTACGTGACTGCCACCCCTACCCTTCAATGTCTCTGGTATACTCCCATTTTGTCTTGCTATCTCTATTGTTTAGCCTCCTTTTCAATGTGTGCTAAAAATGTTACAAATATGAATTGCTTGTTTCCATGGAGCACAAAAAAGGGGTTTTAAAGATCAGAAGGTCCAGCTAAAGCCGGGCTCAGACTACAGGAGTTTTTAAATCTTAACCGATTGGGAAATCTGGTTGCATCACGCACATATGGAGAATCTAAACAGATTTTCTTCTTTCAGATCTCAAACCAGCACACACAACAAGATTTGAAAATCATGGTGTATTACACACTACAAGATATTCTTAAGATTATCATGCCAGATTTAGCACCTCAGGCAATCTCACGAAGAAGCGGATGTAAACAAAATAGATACTGTATCGCGGCAACTTGCTGTGGACTTCATATGAGGAGACATTATAAAGATTTTTATGTCCGATTCTTTCATCTCCACCACACCCGTACAGCTGCTTGTTGGTTCACGGTCGCCATTTCAAAAGTTCTGTTGCTCCGTCTCCTTGTAGACTTGTCTCTGATTGGCTATTGTGGAAGTACTGACATAATCATAGTTGTCATGTTGAAACAAAATGAGGGTGAGTAGCCTACATAATGATAATAATAATAATAAACATGAATTTATTTTGGGTAAACTATTATTTTAAAATGTAACACAATGCTTCCAAATGCTTGGCAACGTACATGTGCTTACCAGGGTCCAAGGACTTAAGGTAGCGAAAAAGGGGAAGGCGAAGCTTCTATCATTTTTAGTAATTTCCTTATTATTTCTTTCCTTCCTGTTCACCGAGCTCAGAACGCTCGTAAATAATGTAGAAAAGCATTAATCGCCTGGCTGAGCCACTTAACGCTGCGTAATCCTTATGCACACACACACGTACGTGGGACCTTCATTAGCGAGAGCCGTGGTGATGTTGTCAGTCCCGTCTCCTGGCAGACAGCATTTATCTCCGCTCGTTTAAGAGAATGTCACTGCTCGGGCCTGACACCTCGTCCTTACAGCTCTCCAAGTAGAGTGCGTGTATTGGAAGGTCACATGGTTCCCCGTTTTAGCCTTCACATCAGCATTAGTCAGAGAAGGCTGACACTTAAAGGAATAGTTCACCGAAAAATGAAAATTCTGTCATTATTACTTTACTCTCAAAACACACTGGATGATTTATTTAATATGTATGCAGTTGCTTTCCATACAACTAAATATTCCTGTAAAGGAGAACAAAATTCGAGTTGTTTTTCTGAAAATGTTTTTCTAAATTCAAAATTGGCATATTATATGCATTATGCTAACAAAACAAAAGAAAATTACAACAAATGCCTTTTAAAAAATTTAAAACAATACAGCATTCTGCTAAACATCTCCTTTTGCGTTTCACAGCGGAAGGAATATCATAGATTTCCAATGATAATTTTTTACTTTAACACATGCTTAATAGTTTTGGCCTTGATATTTTGCGTCTCTAGGCTATGATAAACATTCTTTCATCAGTATGTTTAACTGCTGACTTGGGGTTTTGGTGATGCTATCAACCGTTCCTGTTAATCTTCATAGTAAAACATGCGCATACACACTGATGATTGTCTGCCTAAAAGACCGAGAGATTAACAGTCATTCACACCATCATAGTGTCCTCAAATGAACTTTCCACACTGGCAGAGAATCCTGTAACTGTAAAACATCAAGAATAGATGTTTATTCCTAACATAAATGTCAGTGATAAACACCTCTTAAAGTGTGATATTTTTCTGCCCTGTAATTACACACTTCAAAGCCAAGTTGTTTGCAAAATTGGGGAGTGAGATGAAAATTCAAGACAATTCAAATTGAGGTCAGATCCTCACTCAAACTATGGATTATGGATTTATGAGGGGGAGGGGGAGGGGGGCTTATAGTTGTATGGACAAGAGCTAACTGTTTTGGGGTAAACAATCTCTTAAATAGTGAATCTTAAATTTTGTAAATACAATAGGACCAAAGCCATAGCCTTGGGGGACACCGTTTACCTGATACCTGTAAAGTTTACACAACTTTACAAAGTCAAGTCAAAACACAATGCTCTGCAAAAATCAAGACAATTGCAGTGGGTCGAGGGGTAAAGCCATGCCCAAATGGCAAAACAATCTCATATCTAAAAACAGTAATTGCTGTATAGTCTCGCTCCCTTACTCAAGTGGGCAGGACACTGGCTGCAACATGCGGCAAGAGGAATGACAGAGGGGAACAGAATTCCCATCTCCATGCAGGGGCGGAAGAGGCAAATAAAGAAAGAGTGGGAAGCACAGCTCCCTATATTATCCGTCATGGATAAATAATACTCACTTGTTGCAGATCCAGCCCTCCCTGAGCCACTGAGAAAAGCGGGTGAGACGCAAACTCTGACGTTTCGAAAACCTTAAAAAGGCAAATAGGGGACAGAGACACAAACCAAGGCTTCATTCGCATGTCATTACTCATTAGTCTTACGAATATGCATATTTTGCTGTTACTGCTGTCATTACCAAGCGTGATTTGAATACAGACAGAAAAGGGTTAATAAGGGGGAAAAAAAGATGTTCTCTGATATGAAGCAATGAACATTAATTTCATTATTAGACATTAATCTTGCTCTTTTTACGACAGACACATAAATATATCAAACAGACGATGTATCATAAGTATGCACGTCAAAGTTTCTACCACTGCGATTAATTACACCATTGGCGAAAGACTCCAAAGCACTTATAATGGTGAGGAATATTCATGAGCCTGATTGATCTTAATGCTACTGTTATTCATGCATAGGAGTGTTGATAATGAATAGCCGTGTCAACATGAATAAACATAACGGCCTCTCCACTCTCTTCGGGAGACGTGTTAGAGAATTATGTGAAGTGAATAACAGGGAAAACGATAGATTAAAGAGTGAAACAATAGACCTTAGTCCGGGTAGACGGCATACTTCATTTGACAGGGACGAAAACAAGGCTGTGAAGGATGGAAGCACAGTTTGTTCAATGGCCATTCAATTAAATCTGACAGCCTAGTTAGGAATAGCTAGTAACACTTTATTTGACAGTGTCCTTGTTACACATGTACCTACTATAGCAATAACAGTAGATTATGCATAATTGCTTGCAACTAACCCCATAGTAAGTGCATTTTGTTAACTAATATTTCTCAGAACTTAAATGTATAATTACACTGTAACAAAGACACCTTAAAATAAAGTATAGCCGAATAGTTTTACGAAGGATTTCGATCAAATTTGGACTTATTCAATCATGAATTCAATTATTTGCACACAAATTTGTTCAGTTTGTGTTACACATATGAGGTTCTTTGAATAGACATTGAATGTACCGGTACTTCCATCCCTCAGCCTCGCTTTTCGTTTGCATCAAATTAAATATGCCGTTCACACTGAATAAGGTCTATTGAGGTTTTTCGCAATATGTATTAGTACATTAGCTGCAGGTTTAAATTCGAACATGACACATTTATAAGCGTGTAAACTAATAAATGGAACTAAACATCTTTATACATGTTTGCAATACTTACACTCCATGACATTTATAATAGCACACACAACAAGCAAGCTTCAGAAATATTTCATAAACACAGACAGCCCCCCACCAACACCCTTCATTGATGGACAGCCTCGTTTTATTAAAGGAAATGGAGGCAACATGCTGTCAGCTGTGTTGGGCTTTATGAAACTCTACTATATTAAGAATCAAATTAATAAATATTTTCAGTGCACAAAGCATATTTACAGGTGGGTTTTATGTTTTTGGATCTGCTTAATCCCATTAATTATATTTGAGACAATTAGGCCTTGTTCCCACAGGCATAAAAAATCTTTTTTTTTCTTTTCTTTTGTAGACTAGACTACATTCATGCTTGGTAAAGCCATAATTGACATCCACAATGACAACTTTAAAGCTAATTTCCTCTGTAGAAGAAGCACCTATCTTGGCATCATGGTGACACCTACGTCATGACTGTCACAATCGCTGTAGCTGTAGCAGACATCGACGACACTGTCTGAACAAATAGATTCCAATTTCATACCTTGCAAAATGTCAGTTTGGACCAGCAGTCCTGAAGACTGGATTTGAAAAACAAATCAGATTTGTGTGCAGCGAGAACAAGGCCTTGAAGGAATATAGTTTCGTCCCCAAATTAAATTTGACTTGGAATATAGTACACGCTTTCTGGGCCACTTTTTGTGATTGGTTTGTCATTTTGTAGCTTGACAACCCATTCACTTTCAGTACTCTGGAAAAAGAGCTCTGGGGTATTCAAAATATCACCTATTTTCCACAGAAGGAAAAAGTCATACAGGTATGAAACTACATGAGGGTGAGTAAATTATGAAAAAAAAAAGTTTTTTTTTTTTTTTTGAGTGAACTATTCATTTAATGCTTATTAAAGGTGCACTATGAAAGGTTTGCCAAGTTGGAGCTTAAATGGATCATGAATTAAAAACATCCTGTAAATTTAAATTTAAATTGAAACCAAGCTCAGAAAACGACTTATTTCGAATTCACATTAGGACTTAATAGTGTGACGAAAGACCGCCTCTACAGAATCAAATCAACGCCTACTTCTACATCATCACATCTTTGGCCCCGCCCACTGGAGCAGTAGTGAGATGAGAAGAGAAGAGTGATACAGGATCACTGGACTAAAAATAACATGACCTTCCAAAGGATCCTAATGCTAAGTGCTTATTTATTTTCAACTATGTGAATGTCTTTTATTTGTTTATTGGGTACATTTCACTGTGGATCAGTCATAATTTCGGCGCAGGCTTTGCAAAACAGACTTTTACTGTAAGATATGGACCTGACAGTAATATCACAACATGTAAATAACCGTGTTAATTCTATTTCCTGATCTGTGAATTCTGATGTAATTTATGTACAGTCAGACGTTCTTTGTCTCAAAATCGTTTAATGCCGTTTATGCATCAGTAAATCAAGCCAGTGACTAAACGGGCAACTTTGACATCGTTTCTCTCAGTAGCATGAAAAAAATCTGTTATTTAAATTGTGAGTAAATACAGAAAGATTATATTATATACCCATCATAATCAACGACTCTTATTTACATCGTGTTTACACTGTTAGTTATGATGAAAGCATTCGTGAGAGTTGCAATAATCGAGCTGCAATGATCACTGCATTCAAGCGCTCAACAGTCATATGTCTGTCGTCGGCTACAAGCTCATCGCTGCAACCTTTCATGCCAGGGTAGTAGATCTAAATATAATGCTATAATCAACACTTTTCATGATTCGTTAATCTCGTAAGCTGTAATAGTAAAGGCCATTGCACACTGAGTCCGAAATTCGCATCCGAAATTTTCGCACGTTAAAAAATAAATACGACCTCACGTTATGTCAATCACCCTTGCACACTGCCTCCGAAACTTTCGTCCGTCAGAAAAAAAATCGAATCGGGTTCGATTTTCTGCGTTTTTCGCATCCGTAGCAATCAGTTTGAGTGGTGTTTGAATGATGTTTTGACAATTCAGAGCCACCGAATCTCGAATACGAAAAACCGCATATGAAAATTTCGGACTCAGTGTGCAATGGCCTTAAAAACAGTAAAAGTTTTCAAGATGTGGATGAGTTCCACATGTAATACTTGTTTCAAATGTAAAGATGTTAGCCAATCACAGCAGTGGGCGTTTACATTGAAATCTCACAGCAGACACGCCATTTCAAAATAGAGAGCTGATATCAGGGTCGAAAATAGCCTTTTATTTCTAAATCTTGACAATTGCAATTGCAGGAAACATCAAATAATTTTAAAACTGCAAGTTAATCGTGGAGAATTGTATAGGTGAGTTTGGTTTCAGCTGAGGATATGATGGATTGAGGTTTACCAGATTACCAGTGGTTACAGGCGCTCAGTTTATCACAGCAAATGTCAACATTTACATAAATAATACCTCTTGAGTATGCGAGTCTTCCACTGTTGTATTAACTCATTGAAAACAATTGTTTTAAAATAGATAATGTTACAAAATGTATGAACTTGACAACCACACAAAGACAATTTATGTTAAGATGACACTTCCTGCAAAATATGACCCGACAGCTTAAATTATATTTCAATATTATAAGAAGATTCATTGTGAATCGGGGTAAGGCAAGGAGACTTGCTCAAATCAATTTTGTTCATTTGAATAAATAAAAAACAAAAAAAACTTTCATAGTGCACCTTTAAATGTTGCGATTTTTATGAGAAGAAAAGTGGGACACTTAGTATAGTTGATGAAAGAACCACATTATGCCATGTTGATGTGTATTTTTACCTGATTTCCAGCAAGAAGAACTGTCCCTGGAGCAGGACTGGGGCGGTACGGAATTGTAGCACCCTTTGGAGGAGACTGCAAACATATAATAAAGAAATTGGTAACTTTAAATCAGGACTATACAGATTCACCCACAGGTTTCTCTTACCTAAAGCAGAGTCATTTGGTCATATTATCCTTAATGACTGGAAATGCTGACACGGTGCACAAATGCAACATTTATCGATCAGCTCTTCATCGGATCACTTAAAAGCATACCATTATCCTCTCACAGGAAGTCATTTGGCCAGATAATTTCAGAATGCTATTAATGCTTGCTCATGATATCCTCAGATGGAAAACTTGCAATGCAGAAAATGCAGCCGAACTTTGTTTTTTGTTTCTTTGATGATGCTACTCTACGAGCCTGTTGTTCAAACCCAGATTATAACTTCAAAAAATAATAAAATACTTTTACAAAATGACTGTTGAATCTCTTTTGGCCCTCTGAGACAAGGTGTCATCAGAATATCTTAAAACACATCTTACACAAAACAACAACAGATCACTATCGTTAACTAACTACATCTGCTCATATTAAGTAATTTGATGCCAAAATGCCAAATACAAGAGGTCAGAATAAGGCCAAACCCTAAAAAAGATAAAATGAAAACCCAGTGAAGCACATCCCCCCATGCTTGCTCAACCTAACAAAAAGAATATTTTTAAATATTCATTGGGTTACTTTGCATAATTTGCATCCTGGAGCGAGCAGACAGTTGAGGATTCCTAAAATGGGTAGTGTCGCAGTCAACAATCTGGCCCTCATCCGGTCCATTAAAAATTAAACAGAACGACCAGGACACATGCATTACAATCCACTGAATAAAAAACGCTAAAAGTCTTTTTCTGAACCATTTATGTGCAAAAGAAAACCATTTGAGAGGAAATGCATCTCATGCTGTGGGAGATCTGAGAGAACACATTCAATAATCATTACTGTAATGATTTGTAATGTGCAGTTAGTTAGATCAAGTATCTTTGAAAAAAGTATGTGACAGCTGCAAAAAGCAATAAAAATATATGTTTAGGCTACAGAAATGTATCGTATCCATTCTTTTCAATGCCACTGAAGCTACTACTGAAACCAGTGTGCCGTCTTTGAAGCGCAGAAGCCTTTGAAGTCTTGTAGATTAAGAATATCACATAATAGTCATCCACAACAGTTTTTCAAGGCCAATGCATGCATAAAAATGTGTTAATGAAGCCAAATGGATTTGCTTGGAGTCAAATTACCTCCAGTATTACAGTGCAGATGAGCTTGACACACTGGATGATGGCGTCCTGACTGCCAGATATCGTCACGCCTCTCTCTGTGGAGTTAGGGAGCAGATCTCCTGCCACCTGTACCTGAGCCCCTGTTTTCTGGCACACAACGGAAGAACAGATCATTAGTACACTGTTTTACATAGGTCAGGTGTCAAATCTTGCTCCTGGAGAGCCAGCTTCATGCAGAGTTTGGCTCCCACACACCTGTCTGAAAGTTTCGAGTAATCCTTAAGACCTTGATTAGCATGTTTAAGTTCAGGCGTCTTTATTTAGGGTTGGTGATCCACCAAGAGCAGCATTGGCTCCTGCACGAAAGCTCAACCCAAAGTTTTGCTGACCTTTAAAGATGGTGCCGAAAGCAAACGCTTGTATTATCATTTCCTCTGCCTCCATTGCAAATGACGCCGTTTTTACTTCCTTTTCGGCCTAATCTTTTCCGGGCCAGTACGTCTACCTTTGGTTGTTTCGCCAAGTTTTTAGTGTAAATGAAGATATCGGATATGGGTCACTTTTAAAAGAAGTTGTAAGCTGGTCGTCAACAAATCTGTTTACCTGGTGCTGCTAACTTGAAAGCCTCCAACCAAATAAAAACCAAACCCAGTTTTAAAACAAGCTCTATTGATTTGATTATTTTAACGCACTTTATATTCCCCTAACTCCAACAACCTTCCCATTGCCCACACCCCCCTTCAACTGCATTACAGAACACTCCAAATTTAGCGTGACAGACCATTCACCATTACCTCATACCGTCCTGACAGCCCAGAGACCATAAATGTAAAATAAATGGGCTTTTACCGGCATCCAAACCCATGAAATATGCAACAGCGCAAGTAGTCCTAACATGGACGTCATGGGGCAGAGAAAAGAAAGATAAGGATATGGAAAAGCACTCACCTCTCGGATCTCTTTAATTTTGGAGCCGCCCTTGCCGATGAGGGAACCGCACTGACTGGCCGGGATGACCAGCCGCAGCGTAACTGGAGGCTTACTAGTGACTGTGCCATTCGCCACAAGAGCAGCCAAGTCCTTGAGGGCCAAACATAGAACGGATGACGTGTTAACTGAAAGTTGTGGTGTGACTTATAAAGGATCTTTCAAAAGAGCAAATGTGATTCAGGGTGGTTTGGAACCAGGATAAAGATCTGGTTGGGTAACTAGAACGTTTCAGGTTTAAACCTGCAAGCAGTGATCCATAATCTATCACCATTATTCCCCTTTGAACAAGAGATTAAACCCCAGGTTACTCCCTGAGGGAACTGGCCATTTGATATGCTTCTTCTACCAAGACTGCTACTATCGGCTTAACCTGGATTTTCCAGATGGGATCAAACAAAAGTATATATGCAATATATTTATTTGCTGAGCTATCGAAGTTGGAGTTAAGAGTTGTGTTATTTCACTATCTAAAATGTTGTGCCATTCTCTTATTTATTAGAACCACTGGCCCGACCAGTAGAAGAAAAAAAAAAATCCTTAGTATTGAGCCTGGCATTCTTCAACAAGATTCGAGGCACACCACGAGTTAATCTGGTGATTCCCATTTGAATGATGTCCTCATAATTCACAAGGATCGTTAACGTACATTCTTTGTTCCCAGGTTTGAAAATGTCATTGTGCACCACTGACCCTTCATGGCTTTTGATTGCAATCTGATGAAACGTTCTTTACCAAAGCCACTTTAATCAATTTCTCTATTCAGAGTTTGCAGATCGATGTCCCCACTAACAAAAGGTTATAGCCGACTGCACCGCCATCGAAGACACCCATTGATTTTTATGACCGAATTAAATGATATTTACCAACCTGTCATCCCCACTTGTCTCTATCAAGGTGTGACTTGTATTTGCAAGGTGGACTACATAAAAAAAAAACCCCGTCAATAAGTTTTCGGAAGTTTGCTGAATGTCTGCATAAGACAAGTTGTATGAAACAATCTTATGATACTTTTATGGTCCATTTTTGGTGTTATTTGATCCCTTTCAGAGCTTTACATGTGGTCACATAATCATTCAATGAAAAAACTGCATGAAGTTTTTAAATGACATGAGAACCTTCATTTAACTCAACAATCTGAATGCCAAAATTTATTTTTAGCTGACCTATCCCTTTAAGCAGAGGAGGACAACTTGTGTTCCACTCTTATATTCCTGGCACTACAAGAAATCAGCTTCAACGTCCATTATTCAGCCAGTGCAGATTCAGAGGCTTTCTCTTTAATTAAACCAGGTAATAAATATCAGCCCGAATCGTGGCCCACCACTGCTGCAATCAATTAGGGCTAAGCCGGAATCTTGCAGAGTTTGAAATGTAAATAGTGTGTGCCGTCTCTCTGCCCATCAACCCAGACCTCACCTACGTGAGCAGAATGAATACGCCTCAAATGGCGTCTCGGAAAGTAGAGCTAGCGAGTCTTTTTCTTCTCTGTTTAGCGTTTCCATCAGCGCTAGGGGTTTGAAGACGCTGTTGTTGTGTTCTTTCAACGTCTCGCCCTGAAACCTCCAGAGAACGAAGGGGAGGTGGAAAAAAAGAAAACCGTGCATCTTTTCTTGCTAGAGTTTCAGGGGGAAAATAAGAGAAGGAATTTCCAAATTATATTCTCCATTTCTATCTTGTCCTTCTTTGTGGCTTTCTGTAGCCTTTTCTCTTTAGAATTAGTAGAGATATTATAATGCCCCAGTCTTAATAAGGGTGACTAAATCCCCTGATTCATTCTTAATGTTAGGCGTCACACAAACCCTTTACCGGTCATACCTCTCGTCTCATTTAACAACCCTCCATAATAAAATATCAATTTAGATATTACACTCAGCAGATTGACTCTGTCTTATTTGCATATTATCTGTAGAGTAAGCGGGTCCTGGCCCAGAATTTATGACAATTTACAGTGTAAGGTCTCTTGATCTGATGCAACTAAGGAGCTGTTTTAAAGCTGCAATCTAAAGCATATGCAACAACAACTCAGGGTTGAAAAGGTGAACCTGATTTCACCAAGTACATGTTACTGGATCAGATTTGAGTGACAAGTCTACAGTTTATGTCAAGTTTAGGCTTGCAACCAGGGTTAGGAGCTTCTACATCAGAGTTATTCACCTATCGCCTATCAAGTTATAGGCAGGGTTAGGTTTAGAGGTAGGGATAGGGTTAGGACTAAATTTTCAGACAAGAATGTTGTTCCAGAATCAACACAATATGTTGAACCAGGAACATGTCTTACTTGGCAAAATCACGGTGACGCAGAACCTGATTTCACCAAGTGCAACCTGTTCTTGGATCAACATATTTGTTGATCCTGGACCAACATTTCAATCAACCAATCATATTTGAGGGACAATTTTTCAGTTATGTCAAGTTTAGGCTTACAACCAGGGTTAGGTGCTTCTACATCAGTGTTATTCACCTACCATTTCCCTCTGATTTTAGGGATAACTTATAGGTAGGGTTAGGTTAAGGGGTAGGGATAGGGTTAGGACTAAATTTTCAGACAAGAATGTTGTTCCAGGATCAAAAAAATATGTGGACCCAGGAACATGTCTTACTTGGCAAAATCACAGTGACTGGGTTGAAAGCATGCAAAGAAAAATTCTGATGCAGCACAAGGAATTGAATTATTTTCTTGTTTAGTGCCATTCATTTCCCTTCTGTTGTTGTAGTACCACAAATAAACAGCGGCAATATGGCCTTCAAATAATATAATGTGCAAACATTTCCGCACAAAAGAACCTTGTGCAATTATTATTGAATAGAATCTAGTATCTCATGACATTTTTTCAAGTCTAGACTTTCACAGTCTTCTCCCAACTGTCTATTCTATCATATCTCATCCAAAACTCAGTGAGACATGGCTTTTAGATGTCATCCGTGTTCTCAGCTGACTGCAAGAGCAGCGAAAACATTCTGGATCAAAGCCGGGCCAGACCTCAATAGAGCTTCTTGTAAAATTCAACCAGTAATGCACATGATATTCTCGGCATAAACGAACCCCACTCTTCAGACTCTTCACACGGACTTGTGCGGCGGACATGGAGATTCCTAACAGATGTTTAATGAATGGCTCCATGCCTTCTATGAAAGGATATCAAATACATAATGGATTCAGCAGGAGTGAGAAGATTCATTATTACTTGGTGGGTGTAGAGCTGACATCCTTCAGGCAGACAGAAACACCTCATTGACTGCCAGTTATATAACTCTACTGATGCTATTAATACATATGAATGTGTGATGCATCAATATGTGTTTCTATAAACGACTGTGTGTTTTCAGGTTTGCATTTGCATTTGTATTTACCTTTAACTTTTTCATTGTACAATTTCCTCCAAATTTACTTAAAGCTTAACTCTTTCCCCACCAGCGTTTACTAAAATAGTTGCCAGTCAGAAGCAGCATTTTCTATCATTTTCACAAAATTGACATGGTCCACAGAATATTACACTCAGTATATCAGAAGAAAGAAGAGTCTCTGCTATATTCTAGCTTCATTCATTCTTTTTTTTATCAACACTTGGGTTTGACATTTTTTTTCGGTAAATTTAGGCAGGTTTGAACTCCTTTAATAGATTATTTAATAATTTAATTAAGGTGTATACAAGCTAGTTTCCATGACGGAGTTCAAGATACATCTTTTCATTACTATTGGAGCTGCCAGTTTGCTAAGTTTCAAATGTTTATTAAATAGCACAATCTATGCAAACACCGGATTCACTCACTCGTTTTCGTTCACTCCTTCAAGTGGACTATATTAGTTAAGTAATGTAGGGAATAGTGAACGAGGGTATAGGGGGATGATTTCGAACACACCACTGGTTTATGAAGATGTTTTTCTTTGCTTTGTTTTTGGATCCGGAGATTCTGTACTCTTTCAGAAGATTCGTAAGAGCGCCCCCTACCGTATAACAGTGAAAACATGGACTGCCGAAAAACGTGTCAATGGCGGGGAAAGGGTTAAGACTGCCATTGTTCGGCAAAACAGACCACGCCTCCGAACTCATACCATTGGTTGCCGTCAGGCAAGAAAGTATTTGAAGTATATCAGCTTCAAATATTTGTTTTTTTTGTTTAGTCCCATCGCATTTTAGGACGTCTAGCATTTTTCAGAGAGCTGTATTTCTCTTTTCAGTAAACGTTCACTGGCATCACCAAGGGAACGTAACGTGTAGGGGTTCAAATAACATTTCTGAGGCTATCCTACAACAGATAGGCACCCCACTGCGATGGGACCGACTGACGATATAAGAAAACTACCCACGACTGTTTCATCCAGCTGCTCTTACAAACCATCTCTCAAAATTGCTGAAATTCAAATAGTTCAAAGGAGTTCACCCTGACAGCTTTATTGCTGCAAATCGAACAGAAATGATCCAAGTCGGTTATTTGCAGAGACTGCTGGCAAAGTAATTATACATTGGGATTGACATCTGTTAAAATAATTGTATATGTTATTATTTATACAAAAATATAGAAATAAATAGATGTTTTAACGAAGCAAATACGGCCAATTTTTTCATGGGAACATTTCTCTAATGCATGTTTATGTCACATTTTATGGTTATTGCTCTGCATGATTGTATATGCAAGAGCAGTTTTGTTGTACTGACCTCTTCCAGTTTGATTGTGATCATAGTGAAGGCTCTGAACACACATTCTGTGGCGCCCGTGATGGTGATGATTCTTTCTGGGCACGAGCCTTCTGAGATGTTGATACGTGCACTGCTCTGTATGGATGGAATAGTTAAAGCACATAAATGAATGGGGTGTACACTTTAAAAAAATCGTGTAGAAATGTTCTACTCAGAAATTGCTAGAAATTTCACAAATAATTAGTAACACATTGAATTAGGCATAAAATTCTTAAGTATAAAGACAACATTTTCTTGTAAAACATACTCCATTGATCTTTGTTTTACTTACAACTTCGAAAAATCATCATCATAATAAGAATAACCCAAACATTATACTTTTTCTCTCACCTCATTCTCTAAAGCATAGTTTTGCTCAAATACATAGGTGAAGCAGTGGCCTTGCATTTCTTGTCCTCTAAAATGAAATATGCAGAAAGTGTGTGCGTGCGTGTGTGTGTTTAAAGTGGGCCTTTTGAAATATGTGCCTTAGAAACGTTTTTTCTTGTGTGTGTGTGTGTGTGAAAGTGCACTTTTTAGCACATAAAATATTAACAAAAATGTATTTTCTTTCTACATCAGGTGGGATGCCAGCACTACTTGAACCAACAACTGTTATTTTACACTGCAAGTTGGGGAAAACACCTTAATCCATAATGAAGGTGCACTAGGCAATGCAACAACACATTTAGTTTTAGTTTCGGTATTCAACCTTGCGAAAAAATAATAAACCACAGCACATTCCTATCCAGACGAGATTAGATTTCTCAGAGGATGCTTGAGAAAATAGTAGGCAATTTGTTCTGTTTTTGTGTGAGAAAAACACAGGCGTGTTCGATTCGGATGGGATTAAACTCAAAGTACGTCTATGAAACACAAATGTACCTGACCTCCTCAGGGAAACTAGTTCTGTTGGCCTTCTGTTAGATGTGCATATCGCGTGTGTAGTGTCCAAACGTGTGGATCTCCAGCAGAGCTCTGACTGTCAGCTTCACTTAAACTGATCTCTCTATCAATCATGCACAAATGCATGCAAATGCAACTGTTTATCGGCAGTATAATTTACATATTTAATGCAATTTATGTATAATGTACAGTATACATATATATCTATATATATATATTTTTTTTATCAAGTGTATAGACATTTATATCTTTACTTAATATATGCAGTGTTTAGTGTAGTTATAATAAACAAAAATGATCACATAACAGTAATGCAATTTATCTCTATGGATTTAAAGGGTTTATTTACCGGTAAGTTTTGCTTTATTTATGAATGTAATAATAAACTGATTTATTCAACAATGCAATTTTGACCTGCTGTGACTTAAAGTATAGTTCAGGTATGACTTATTTTCCAGAAAATATTTTAGTAATACAATGTTGGACTGTTTGTGGTTTGAACTTTGCAGACAAAAAGACAAGGTATTTTTTATAAATAAATAAATATATATATTTATATATATAAGTAATTTACCTCAAAAACTACTTGTCATATTTTACTCACATTCATGTCATTCTAAACCAGTTTCTTCAGAAGATTTGGATTATAGTGCACTTTTCTTGTGCTTTTTTGCTAGCTTTAAAGTCCCTGGTAACTATCTTTGTTGTACGGAATACAGAAGTGTGAACATTCTTCAAAATGTCTCCTTTTGCATTCCACAGAAGAAAGAAAATCCTTTGGAATTGGTGTGACATGGGTCACACCCATGTACATGATGACAGACTTTCTTTTCAGGAAGAGCTATTTCCTAGTTATAGCACTGAACAGCAGATAAAAACATCCAATTGCAATATGTTCTGTTAATGACATCTATCGGGCCCAGAATTGACCCCTGTGGTGCCCCAACTAATGCAATAGAACATGCATCGTGTGCAGGCTTGCGTTCACATTTTCCACCCTCAAACCATTAATTAGGTCGAAGAAAACAGTATTTTTGTCATTTTATGTTGTAAGAAAGCAAAAAACTTTAGGTAAGGGTGCAAGCGAGCTAGAGAATAAGAGACTATGTGTGCTTTTGTTAGCTCATGAAGAATGTCTACTGATCATCAGTGCCAGAAAAAAAAAAAATATATATATATATATATATTCATTCTCGGAGGGACACGTTCACCCACGCCTGGGTTTTTCTCCCTGGTAACCCACTTCAATCTTTATCCGGAAGCTATTGTTATTAGCAGCTACCTTGAAAATACCAACGCATTCATATCAAACTAATGAATTAGTGGTCGCAGAGTGTGCGCTGTCATGCGCCCTTGAGATGAAAGGCTTCATTTAAATATTAATGTCTTCTGCAGTCTTTCAGCTTTAATGTGGCGGACATCAACTGTTTTGTGGACGTATGTGTGGAAATAAGGCCGTTTCGGTGTCTTTTTTCCAGCTTAAAACCACATTTATGTGTAGAATTCCATGTGGCGCTAGCTTCAAAGGAATGCCGTCTGTTCTGCATGCATGATGCATGCTGGGAAGCGGAGAAAGACAACATCTATGAGTAGCATGTGGCTTACCTCCTCTCGTATCCTTTTCACCGTCTCTCCTTTCTGTAGGGGGAGAAAAAAAGAAGATCATAAAGCACTCATTGTCTTTCTCTCATGTTTGTTTGTGTGATATATTGTTTCCCCAGAGTGAATGTCTTTCACAATGGCTTATAGTGGAGGATAAAGTGAGTTTGACTAGTTGAACAGATAGCTGAAATTAATATCAATTCTGCTTCGCTACACAGCAATATGGCATCTGCATGCATAGGCCTCAGGGGAACAGGTTTTCCAATCGAAGGCTCTGCAATTGGACTGACTAGGGAATCAATAGTCCATGAATCACTTAGATAGCCTCAGATAGTGTCTCGCTATCTCAGACACAGAAGCTAACGTGTACGGCATAGTCATGACTGAAGATCTGAGGATCTGCTTTAACACGCTTGACTGGCGTTTCATTGTCTTTAGATGGGCTAAAAGGATGATTGGATGTGTCATAACAGAGGTGAAGTGGGACTTGGGTGGTTTTAATTTATCAAGGAAATTGAAATTTCACATGAGATGTTTTCGAGACCACCCATCTTATAAATCTACCCTTAATGCCAATAAAAATATCATGCCACATGCCACAAAGTTCTTTAAAACTGCTGACACCATATTTAGTTTGATTTGAACAAAAACAAGGCTGTGGAAGAACACAAGTACAGTTTTTTACAATATGTCGTACAGTTGCGTACTTGTGTGTTGATCACTTGGCCAATGAAACTTAAATAACAAAATTAATTATAATGAAATTTTTATTATGTTTTTGGTATTCATCAATGTAGGGTTGTTAGTTAGCCAAAACTAAAACCACATATATAAAAAATATATATTTTTGCTACTTGAATAAAATTGTATCTAAAATAAAATATTTATAATAATACTTAAGACTTATTTCATTTCTCATTTTCATTTAGTTTACCTTGATGTACTAAAATAACTAAAAATTAACTATATATTCATACTATAAAAATAATATAAATGACAAACACAAAATAAAATTACTAAAACTTTAACAAAAATGTAAATGAAACAGAAAAATATAAGAGAAAAAAATAATTCAAACTATTAATATAAACTATAATAGTATCTCAATGATACTAAAATCTTCCTTTGTTTTTTTATATTTTTGTACATAATGTATTTTTGTCAACTAAATTCAGAACTTTAGAAATGTTTGTCAAAAGGCTAAATCTATGACTACAACAAATAATAAAATGAAAAATCAGTGTTTCCATGCATAACGTAAATATATATATATTTTTTTTAACAATTAATGCAAGAATGATTTACGAACAAAGAAGCTAGCATGAACAAAAACAAGACTGCGGAAGATGCCTTGTGTTTCATGAATGACGCCAACTGAACGACTAAATCCGTTACTCTTTTTTTATTCATGTCAAATAAAACATCGTCAACTGTGGCCGAGCTCTCTCTCTCCTTATAATACACAATTAACTTTCATTTCTTTCTCCTGAAGACGCATTGCGAATAGTAATCGACTCTAGATAGCCCTCCCCCACGAATATCTCCAATGAAGATTTGTGATGGAGAACCACAGGTAACGGCACAGATTTAGTCTAAGACTGTGTTTAATCTTTGTCCGGGAAACCAAGCCTTGATATATTGATTTCACAGTGAGGAGATCTACACCACAGGCCTTCATTCATTTACTATTGCTTCAGAGAAAAAACAAGAGAGGGAAAAAGAAGACAACAGAGGATGTCAAAGTCATCGTTTAGCTGATCTTATACTGGAACGTGATTAAGCATTACATGATCATCATTCCACAAATGTCCCCCAAAAGCCCTGCATATGGATTCAACCCACGACGAGAGACGTACCATTTAAATTAGCCCAATGAAACGACAAACTGTGGCATAAATTAATGCATCAAACAGATGAGGGCTTTTTGATACAGCAATGTTACACTTTGATTTAGGAAATTTGCCAGTACTGGGAACTACTGCCAGAAAACTACTCTACACAAGTATTTAAATGCAGACACAAATGCCTGGCCAACGAGCAGAAACAGCGCATAACCTCGATACTCAAGGGGTGATAGAGTTATCAATGTGTTATGACTCGGCTAGATAGATATAAACATGGTTTGTTTGATCAAAATATTGTTCTGCCATGATAGTAGTTAGTCTGAAAAAAAAAAAACTGGATGTAGTAGAATATAATGTAAGAGCCAACGACAACTATAGCGCCCCTTGTGGCAATGCTGAAAATGAAACGCACATGATGAGCGATGCTAACTCAATTTTTTTGCTTCGCTGCTGTGGGGAACAGGACGAGGGCCGAGGGAGAACGGCGCGAGGCCGGTGGCGTGATTAATGATGAGCGAATGTATCTCTCACGGAGGAGCAGAAGCATAAAAGGAGGAGCGACGACAGTGGAGGATGAGAGAGGCCAGGCCTGCATTTTACGTTTTGTTTATGTTTTATTACGTGACAGCAGTCGTCCGTGAGGGACTGCTGCCTTTACTTTCGTTTTGTATTTGTTCTATTTTGTTATTAAAAGTCTGTTGAATGTTCGCCGGTTCCCGCCTCCTTCTTCCCACAACAACATACTGTGTTACAGCTGCATTTCCAAAAGTGTCAGAACACAATATAAAATATAGTTTGTGTAGCAAGGAATGTTTACTTGCGACTTGTAACTACTGTTCAAAATTCTGGCAATTTCGTATAAATTCGTGCAATCTCATTTGTACATTTTCGTACAATCTGGTTACGCCCCCCCTGATGGTTACATAGGTTTAGGAGTGGACCTTCATAGTTAGGTGTTTTGCTTCGCCATGATAGTAATTGATCCGAAATCAAAAAGTAGAATATAAATTAAGCTAACTACAACTATAGCACCCCCTGTGGTAACGCTGAAAATGAAATGCACACGACAAGTTACACAAACTCTATGTTTTTGGTTCACTGAGATTCCAAAAGTGTCCGAATGAAATATGTATCAAGGAACATTTACTCAAGCGGCCAGTAGAGTTATCAACATGTTATGGTTCAGTTAGCTATCTATAAACATGTTGACGCATTAGCTAACTTTAACAAACTTGTTCAGCCAGATTGTCTTTAAACTGTTGTTCTGGCATAAAAGTAGTTGATCTGAAATCGAAAACCGACTGTAGTAGATAATATTTTACGCTAACAACAACAACTAAAGAACCCCTTGTGGCAACGCTGAAAATTAAACGCATAAAGTTTGTCAAACAAGGAACATTTACTCAAGGGCGATAGAGTTATCAACGTGTTGTGATTCAGTTAGCCACCTATAAAGCTATATTAGCACTCTAGCACGTGCGGCAGCACTGAGAATTAAATGCGCAGGTTGAGCTTCTGTTGAGCTACTGCCTTCCCAAAAGTGTCAGAACATCGAATTTACGTGGCAAGGACATTTCCATTCACATATTTGCGTTAGAAAAATGCGCTTGGGCCCTACTTGTTGCAGCTAGGCTCTATTTTATCGATCGATCAGATCCCTGCAACAGGAAGTGCAGCCAAGCTTGTTCTTGATTTATTGTTTGGCTGTTGTGATCTGAAGATAGCACCTTTAGGACATTGCAACATACTTTGTTTACTTTTCGATTCTTTTTGTGCAAGACAACAGAGTGCACTGTGTTTTCGAGAAGACGTATTTGCAGCAGCGGAGACCCCGTGGAGCTCAGAGCGGGTCTGTATCCTTCTGTCTGCCTCTGGTCCTGAGGCCAAGCTCTGGCAAAGGCCCAGAGACCTATTAGCAGGCCAGTTCTGAAGAGAGCTTTGTTTCGCAAGAGATTAATTTAGAGCCAAATAAATGCCAACAACTGTGTGTATTTGTGTTTTGTAGCTCCAGGACCTGGAGTTGGCCGAAGTAGGGAACAAAAATCCCACAAAAATCATCTCATCAGTAGCTGACACACTGTTTACTAATCATTGTGACATCTACATTGGGCCTCTCCAAGAGATTGTGCCATGTTTAGACAATTGCACTCGCTCTGGGGATAAACAGAGCTAGCTGTAGAATTTAACAATGCAATATATCCAGATTATTAATACATATGATTTACGACTCGTCGCATTTAACAATCCATTTGCTAGAAAACATCAAGTCTTGTATTGATGCATTCTGTGGGTTTCTAATCTGCGGTTTTTGGATTGTAACCTAAAGGTTTGAGAGAAAGATTGCAAGAACAATCTAATACAGAGGGAAAACAAACAAACCCAATAGTGACATAAAATCTCAAGACGCATCCACGAAATCTAATAAGTCAACAGCAGGGACAACGGGAACAAAGAGAATCGCTCACCTTGCCTATGATGCTGCCGACCTCCTGTGAAAAGAGAAATAAAGCAAATGTCAGCTTATTGATTAGCGAGCTCACTCCCCGCTCATCTGTCTATGGGTTTTGATGAGGTAGGCCGGGTCTGGAGTATCTGTGCATTCGGGATCACGTGGAACCATATTAGCACAGGGCCCTCCAGGCTCCGGAAGCACTCTGTACCTTTTAAATGTCCCATCTCAGGTTTAAAGTCAGCACAAGATGGTGTCTATAACCCCATTTGATTAATGTTACCAAAAAGTGCGATATCTAAGAACAAATCTATCAGGTACGAATTTGGATTGTGAGAGTTGTCACAGTAGTGATGTGAGCCAAAGTCATTTTAAAGGCGAAGCATGTTTTAATCTCATTTCATTTTGATTTAAATATTAAAAAGCCAAATTTTTCTTTTCAAAAACTGTTCAGAATTTGTATTGATTTCATGTTGAAGATTAGGGTTAGTTCACCCAAAAATATAAATGCTGTCATGTATTACTCACCTCCATGTCTTTCCAAGACTTTCGTTCATCTTCGGAACACAAATAAAGATCTTTCTGATGAAATCTGAGAGCTTTATGTCCCTCCATTGGCAGTTTACGCAACTACCACTTTCAAGACCCAGAGAGGTAGTAAAGACATCATAAAAGTAATCCATGTGACTCCAGTGGTGTAACCTCAATTGAGACGCGAGATTTCATTAAACTCTCTCAGAGATCTCTCAGATTTCAGCGAAAATATCTTCATTTGTGAACTAATGAACTAATGTCTTACGGGTTTGGAACGACATGGAGTTATTGATGAAAATCACACCCAAGAGTGTCAAAGCGCAAAGCACATTTTAGATTGTCAGGTGGCTCAACACCCTCTTATCGCAATTTAGCTATTTAAAAATTTGGTGAATTGGTGGCAAATTCTTATAAATTTGTACAATCTCATTAATGCGTTTTCGTGCGATCTGGTTACGACCCTCTTGATAGTATTGGGGTGAACCTTCATGCACTCTTAAAACCATGTTTTTCTTATGTTATGAACATATTTTGATAATCTAAAGAACTTTTTTCCACTATAAAGAGACTTTTGTGCATTGGAAAGGTTCCATGGATGGTATAGATTCCTTAGGGAACGTCAATGCTAATGAAGGACCTTTATTTTCAGTGTTTTTTTGTTTGTTTTTAAATCATACTTTTCAATACAAATCTATTCTTCGAATTCCTACGAAATCTGTACCCCATAAAACAGTGATGTTTTCTCATGAGCTTAGGTTGGGTTGCTTTTGATTTGTGTTATAACTGGCTGAAAAAAGTTTGAAGGATGATGTCATGCACCACTTATTAAGTTGTGACATCATGTCCGAATGTTTCTAGAAAAGTTTTCAGCAAGGATGTGTGCTTTGAGCTGCCAAGATTGTAAGGGATCACTTAAGTCTTGAAGGATCTCTGTTTATCCTCATTGAAAGATCAAGTTACAATCTGTTGATGAGAATTATGGTAAAATAAATTGGCACATAAATCATATAAACGTGGCAGTTTATTAACGGTTCATTATGTTTTCATTGGTTTTTCATGACTGTTTTTAATGACTCATTCCTTTTTAGAGATATGCAAATGAGAAATATCAAGGAGTTTTAGGCACGTGGAAGGAAATCTGTCACTGGCAGCTGGCTGACAGTTAAACGAACATGTTGACAACACTGTAATGACATGGCAATGAAATCTACAACCATTTGTTCACTGAGAACTTGAATTCAAGTAGATTCAAAATATTTGGAAGAAGTAAAATACACTGAAGAATCTAGTTGCAAATAATCATGGCATGATTCCCACACTGTTTTTCACTAAACGAACAAGAATTATCTAATTAATAGTTAATCAGAAATGTTCATATTTAATAAATGTACTTACACCAATGTATCAATACACAGCAATATATGATGCATTCATTTGATCCAATTCAGGTTAAATCAGAGATTGTATTAAATTATCTCTGTATTGACAGGTTGAGCCATTGAGTAGGTGCGAAACTAGTCTACTGACACTGAGTTTAAGATGTTTTCATTAGAAGTTTCGGTACAAAGCAGCATCACTTTGAAATGTACATGTCGATGTCAGGTTCGTCTTGCACTGAATATACTAAATGTTTGTGGTGTCTATGTGTGTTTACCTTTCCGTGCATGAGCAGCCGGAGAGTTAGAGTGACGTTCATGCCTCCATCTCCAAAATCCTGCTCACAGTTCATCCTGACGTGGGATTCGGACCCAGGGAGACGCATGAAAGATGCTCTACGGATGATGGAATGGGCAGGGAGGGGGGGGAAGCAGGACTCTCTCTTTCCACTCACCACTCTGGAAAGACAACACAAAACATTCGTCAATAACTTAAAAGTGCCCATATTATGCTTTTTTAAATGTTGATCATTTGTTTTTGAAGGTCTCCTACAATAGATTTACATGCATCGATGGTCAAAAAACACTTATTTTCTCATAATATGCATTGCAGATCACCTCATTTCTCAAAGCGTTTAAAAAACGGTTCGTTCAAAGATTCGGTCACTCTAAACTCCTCCTTTCTGAGAGTCTAATATGCTGTGATTGGTCGATTCTGCTCTGATTGGTCAGATGGCCCAGTCTGTTGTGAATGGTCTACTCTGCTCTGATTGGTCAGATGGCTCAGTCTGTTGTGATTGGTCTACTCTACTTTGATTGGTCAGATGGCCAGTCTGTTGTGATTGGTCTACTCTGCTCTGATTGGTCAGATGGCCAGTCTGTTATGATTGGTCTACTCTGCTCTGATTGGTCAGATGGCTCAGTCTGTTGTGATTGGTCTACTCTGCTCTGATTGGTCAGATGGCCCAGGCTGTTGTGATTGGTCTACTCTGCTCTGATTGGTCAGATGGCCAGTCTGTTGTGATTGGTCTACTCTGCTCTGATTGGTCAGATGACCCAGTCTGTTATGATTGGTCTACTCTACTTTGATTGGTCAGATGGCCAGTCTGTTGTGATTGGTCTACTCTGCTCTGATTGGTCAGATGGCCCAGTCTGTTTTATACACAGTGATACAAACAGTTAGCCTGGGAAAACCCAGACAACTTCCGGCAAATTAGATTTGCTCTGAAAGTTAGTCTGGCAAAGAGCTCATTCAAGCCCATTTCCAATCCGTCGAAATCGAGGCACCAATCAGGGGTGCGTTTCCCGAAAGCATCGTTAGCCAACTATGGTCGCAAGTTCCGTCGTTACCAATAGAGTTCAATGGGATTTGCGACCAACTTGCGACCATAGTTGGCTAACGATACTTTCGGGAAATGCACCCCAGAAACGTTGGGGCGGGCTTTACACGATGACGACAGCACTGGGATTTTGAAACAGATTTTGTAGCCTACATTACAAAGATGGATGCCGCCATCGAACATCACTCGTTCGAATCAGCTATCGCGTCTGTTTTAAGCGATTTGAATGTTTCCTTTTTGTTAAAAACCGAGCAAAGAACAACAGTCGGAGATGTTTCTCCGCCGCTCTGCATACGTCATCTCCTTCATCGCTCTGATTGGGTTTAGGTCTATCCGCGACGTCCGTTGGTGACGCCCCTCTGGAAATGATTTGTCTATGACGCTTTGCCAGACCATAACTCAGTTACAACTGAGAATGGTCTGGTTTTAACCAGGCTAACAAACAGTAACAATGGCATTGCTTATTCTGTATCAGTTCCAGCCAGAGTCCTCATCCTTTCGGAAGTGCATGCTGAATTCATGCAACAGTGTCTTTTCGACATGTCGACAATACAAACCAACCACAATTGCTGACAGCTCGTTTTGGCAGATCAGAATCAATTCTTTCTTCTAGGAGACAACTTTATTTGTCATGGACTTTGATCTTTGAAACTTTGCAGACCTTTTACATTCACAAACTATTATATTACACACTGCATGAAAGGTAATGTTCAAAAAAGCATAATGGGTCACTTTACCACTGGAATAAAATATACTTTTGTTTTATTTAACCTGTTGCAGAAATGACAACTACTTCTATATTTATGTGCATTTTGCCTTCATTGGGACTTAAAAAGATGGATGGGATTGGGAAACAACCCCAACCCAGATTCAAACTGGTGTTGGTTTCTGTTTGCCTTGACAGGAGTCTGCGTGTCTCACAGCGGTAAATAAGACGATCTGTAATTGCCACGCCATCTGCCCTTGTGTGCAAAGTATTCGGTTAAGTGAGGACAACCATGACAAGTGAATCCAACAATGCCTCAGCAGCTGAATTATGACAATGAGGTGTTCTGTTACAGTGTCACCAAAGTCAGCATCACCAATTTAGCCAATCTCACAAAGCAGGAGAGGACGACTGTAAGTGCTTGTTGAAATGATCCCCACTGCATGCTCCACGTTTTTTGGTGAAGGCCCAGAAGTGGAGTAAGAGGTGAAGCTGGTTTGGGCAATTTTGTTCTTTTTGAAACAAGAAATTGCAGTTTTTGTGCACCCCTGCCTCTACATGAAAGAAAAACCACAGGTTCTATTGAGACCATCTGATGGCTTTTTTAGGCAGTGTTGTGTAAAGAGCAGTTGGATAGCAAATATAAAGTCCAAGTTTGCAGTAATGACTGTATATGCATTCTACAATCCCGGAATCACACATACCAACAACAGAGATGATTTTTGGAGGAAGGATGTCATGTGGTGCGACCAGTAAAGTCATGAAATCCAACCAACACTCTGAATGAATAAATAAATAAGCAAGAAATTATATTATAGACCCTTATGAATATGTCAAGGTCAAAAATATCAGATAATTTTACCTTTTTAATGACAAGGCAAGGTTAGTTCAGGTTGTAAAATGCCATGTGGCGAGCTCTCCACAAAATGTTGATAGAGAAAAAGAGTTGATGTTGATAAAGAAATAAAAAGCATTGCAAAATGTTTTGCTTGTAACTACATCTCCCGAGAGATCGGAATCAAGCTTACTTAGCACTCACAAATTTCAGTCAGCTTCTAAACGTCCCCAAAATTAGACTGCATGAGTCATAATTTAAAACTTGATTGGCAAGTGTTGTTGAAGCTTCGGGGTGAATGAAACAAGCTCTCAACTCTCAGAGGACCTGCTACATCAGACGTCTCGAGTCCTAAAACAGCGATATCACAGCATGCTAATGGCAAACTTGGTTGAGCAGTTGATGATTCATAGAATCAAACACACCAACATCTGCTCGTCGTAACACCACTCAGATTCACCCACATTGCGGTTTTCTGAAAACTGCCGACAGGTTAATTAAAGCTGCCATTGATGTGGCCGCTCAATTAAAGGTGTGGGTGCATGTTTTCAGATAACACTGGAAGACATCCAAGATTTCGACGTCAGTCGGGGCTCCAAAAAAAGTAGGTCAGAAATCCAAAAAGCAAAGCAGAAGCCCACGAGAGGCATCGATGAGGCTGTCGTGTAAGAGTTTAGCAGTGTGTCATTTGGACACTCATGTCCACGGGTGGTGCTGGCATATGCATGTCATTAGTGCAAAGCGATCGCTACTTGTGCCTGTCTCGTTTTCTTCTCTTCCCTCAAGGCGATCCACCAACCTATTAGAAGAAGAGAGAGCGAGATGAACAGGAGATAGAACGTGCCCACTGGTTTGCACCTGTGGTCGCAGGGATTTTGCCAAGTTGAATGTGTTTCTGGATCTTCTGTTGGTCCTGTCACAACATCCTGTTAAGCAACCGCCAAAGCCCTATAATCTAGGGCCCTATGAAACAGGGTTGTCATTAACTAAAACTAAAATCTTATATTTTTAAATATTAAAAAAATATAAACATTAACTGAAATAAAATACAATATAAAACAACATATGTTTTCGTTCCAAGGCAACATTCCTAATTTTTATTTAGTTTAACAATGTACTAAAATAACTAAAACTGAAATAAAAATGCGTAAAAACTATATAAAAAGTGTGTATTTTGCCATTTTTATTAAATAAAAAACTACCCAATATGAAAATTTAAAAAACGAATTGAAAATATTAATAATTCTATTATAATATCCCAGTAATACTAAAATAACACTGCTATGACATTTGTTTTATTTTTTCCCAAATTCTGTTTTATTTTATTTTTTCAAATTCCATGCACTTCTATTTCAATTTCTATTTGTCTATTTAACAATTTTATATGTCTATTTAATTAATATCTTAATACTATAACAATTGTATTATTATCATTTTTTTTTTAAGTTTAACAATAGTGCTCTATGAAATGTATTTTCTTTTTTCAGAAATTATTTGTGTTAAATATAATTTTCAGAATTTTGGGGGGGATATTTTGTCTGGATTCAGTGTTTCATGATTTAATAGAAATTTAAAATAAAAAATTATAGTGATAAATCTTTTTTGTTTAAAGTATGAAATTTGAACAATTCCTTTCCTTTTTTTGGCAAACAAAGTGCAGAGTTTGCTGTTTAAAATAAAACATAGATGACTTTTTTTTTCCTTCGTTTTAATAAACGGTATTATTAGTATTATCACTTTAAGAAGTCCATTATACTGCACAATATTACATGTCTTTGTCATAATTTCTTTAAACTAAACCAAACTTGTATTTTGGCGGTTTGTGGTTTGTATCTTTGTGTCTCAAATGATAGTTTTTATCAAATGAAATAGTGAAATGCTTGTGAACTGACTCTCAGAGCAGCTCTGGATATGAAATTCATGTCCTTATATAGTGAGACAACGCTGAAAACACCATGAGCGTCACATGTTTTATTCAGAGACAGACTTTATATTTAAATAGCAGCCATTTTGTAGTTTAAAATCAACAGACACTAGTACTGATGTCAACTTTGTCTGTGTTCCTACCAATTTCAACAGAAATGCAACCAAGAAATATATGCAAATTATGTCGGTAGGTATTAAAACAACTGCCTGAACTTGTTTGAATAAAAAATTCAGTGCCGACTGTTAAGGCTCCCTGCTAGCCAATAATCAATCACATAAGAGTGTCAAAGCCATTCTAACTTAGTTTACTATGACTTTGGCGCTTTTGGGTGTTCCCTTGTTCCCTGCCCCCGTCCACCCACCACCACTAAACCACAGCCCAAACCCTAAAATGAAGCCAGAAATGTTGTTCCTAGACCAACAACGTTTATGCATCATACTGTTTATCTTCATATACTGTAAGATCATTTACACCTGTATATATAAGAACCTGTAGCAATATCTCTGTTGGAACACAATCTCTCATCTATTTAATGCGAATCACTTGTAAATCTCTCTACTCTTTATGTGTAATACACACACACATCTAACGAAGATTAATTAGCAGTGCTAATTGACGCTTCGCCACCCTGTAGTGTGTGAAAATATGGAT